GTGGGACCCGTGTCCGGGGGGGCTGGGGGACACGGGGGGGGCTGGGGGACACGGGGGGGCTGGGGGCGACTGGAGTGAGACCCCGGCACCGGCCCCACAGCCTCCTGGCAGAGCCCCGACACCTCTCCCCTTCAGCCTCCCCCTCCTCTTCCTCCTCCTCACCCTCTTCCTCCTCCTCCTCTTGCCCTTCACCCTCACCCTCCTTTCCCTCCTCCTTGCCTTCCTCCTCCTCCTCTCGCCCTTCCTCACCCTCCTTCTCACTCTCCTCCTCATTCTTCTCTTGCCCTTCCTCACACTCCTCCTCCTCTCGCCCTTTCTCACCCTCCTCCTCACTCTCCTCTCACCCTTCCTCACCCTTGTCCTTCCTTCTCTTCCTCACCCTCCTCCTCCTCTTGCCCTTTCTCACCCTTCTCACTCTCCTCTCACCCTTCCTCACCCTCCTCCTCCTCTTACCCTTCCTCACCCTCCTCCTCACTCTCCTCTCACCCTTCCTCACCCTCGTCCTTCCCTCTCTTCCTCACCCCTCCTCCTCCTCCTCCTCTCACCCTTCTTCACCCTCCTCCTCCTCCTTTCACCCTTCCTCACCCTCACCCTCCTCCTTTCACCCTTCCTCACCCTCCTCCTCCTCTTGCCCTTTCTCACCCTTCTCACTCTCCTCTCACCCTTCCTCACCCTCCTCCTCCTCTTACCCTTCCTCACCCTCCTCCTCACTCTCCTCTCACCCTTCCTCACCCTCGTCCTTCCCTCTCTTCCTCCCCCCTCCTCCTCCTCCTCCTCTCACCCTTCTTCACCCTCCTCCTCCTCCTTTCACCCTTCCTCACCCTCACCCTCCTCCTTTCACCCTTCCTCACCCTCCTCCTCCTCTTGCCCTTCCTCACCTTCTTCCTCCTCCTTTCACCCTTCCTCACCCTCACCCTCACCCTCCTTCTCCTTCTCCTCTTGCCCTTTCTCACCCTTCTCACTCTCCTCTCACCCTTCCTCACCCTTGTCCTTCCTTCTCTTCCTCACCCTCCTCCTCCTCTTGCCCTTTCTCACCCTTCTCCCTCTCCTCTCACCCTTCCTCACCCCCCTCCTCCCCTTCCCC